AACTCTACATAGTGTAGAGACTTGTTCTGTGTCCTAACATGTGGTCTGTCTTTGAGAATGTTTCATGTGCACTTGAGAAGAAGGTATATTCTGCAGCTTTGGGATGAAAAGTTCTGCGAATATCAAATCCATCTTATCTAGTGTATCGTTTAAGGGTGCTGTTTCCTTGTTGATTCATTGGGTGATTCTTCTATGTGCCCTGTCCAGAGTTCAAACCGGAAACCTTGGTGTATCCGGGCAATGCTGTAATCAACTGAGCTACCTCGCCAGGATAGGACCCGTCATTTCTTGGCATGTCCCCAACTGTGATTATTTATAGGTCTTTTCTCTTATTGAGTTTCCCCAGAGTGGAATCCTTTAGTTTCTTCTTGCCGTGGTGGGCTAGCTTGTTGTTGGTGTTTTTATAACTAAGAGGGAGCATGCGTCCACATTAGACCCACCAATCTGCATGTAGAATTTTTCCTTAATCTGTTATTTAGTGTAGCACTCAAGAGTTCAGCTCTTGAGTCTCCATTGTCTTAGTTTACAACGTTTTCAGAGAAAAACTCAGTCTCCAGGATGAGGGAAGGGATGCTCCTGGTTTGGAGTGGGGCGGGGGCGGGGGGGAGGGTGAGGTCGTAAATAGATTTTCACCCCATTGTCCTGTGTTTGACCCCACCTGTGCCCCTGCGTTCAGAGGTGTCTCCTGTCTGAAACTGAGTTCTCCTGTCTCCCTCCCAGCACTCATCTTTTCTAGTTGGCTCCATCCACTGCTCCTTGGCAATCTGTTTCCAACTTTCAGAAGTTTGGTTTCTTGCCTGTGGTTGTCTCCTTTCCCCATTGGTCTCTCAAATCCCTTTACTGCAACTTTAATGATATTTTAAAAGGGAGAGAAGGCAAACAAGGGATCATCTGCTATGTTTAATGGAAAGTGCACACAAATTCTCTAATGAGCAATCTAGAGGGGGATGAATAAACCCCTGTGGTTATAAACTTACCTTGTTTTATAGTGTTTGAGGCCTGCTTTTTGTAAAAACCTACTTAAATAAAAGGACCATGTTGGAGAGCCATTGTTTATATTCACCTCATAATACTTCAAATCCTAGTAAAAGTTAGAGGGGATCAGAGACAAGTAAGCATGACTGTTCAGCCAAGGTCCATGGACGATTGGATGGTGGGAGGTTCCACTGCCCTGGCCTTTTCTATAAATGCAGATTTAATCTGGATTTCCTACTTTTATAAGTGCTAAGGGAGGGTTAATATGTGGGCTTCACACCTGCACAGACCCCAGAACTGTTGGTATTTCTGCTTTGCCATGTCTGGGCCATGAGCAGATTAACTGGTTGGAGCCTCAATTTCCTGAACTAAAAATGGGGGAAATAGTGCTTTTCTCCCAAAGTTATTAGGTTTGAATGAATTAATGTTTGCAAGTGCTTAGTCTTGTGTGACCACGTAGGACACATCTTATTTACTTTAGTATATTTAGGTCTCCTTTTGTATCTTGCATCACTGCTCACTGTGGTCAGCCTAGAGGCTCTTGATACCCTCACTCCTCAGTGTTGAGTAATTATTATAGTTAGCGGTTGGTCCCTGAACAGAACACAGTTCAGACAATTAAATGGGTGGGCACGAATGCTTTCTGAAGGCACTGCGTGACATTGGGGTTCAGTGTTCCAGCCATTCATAATGACCATTGTATGCTCATGGCACATAACCCACATTTTACGAAAGTACTTACTTTTAGAGAATATTTTTGAAGAACGTATGGGGTAGGTAGATTGAAGCCAGGATGTAGATCTTTTTAGATCTGCTGTTACTATACCCTGAAGAGTTAAAGTGAGCAGAAACTTACAGGTAACTCTTGTGTAAGTGGCATAGTTGCTCCTAGGGGCAATTCGAATAATCAGGCAATAATAATAAAGTTCATTATCTCTCCTAAGTACTTTAAATAGAAAAGAGCAGATGACCAGAGAGAAATACATCTGTGATCTCTTTACCGTAGGGAATAGGTCCCAAACCAAACATGAAGAAAGATTCTCATATTTGTCCTGGTTCCGTTTTCTACCTGCCCTCTCCGGGCCCTTCCCAGTTTTTGGGTTCTCCACAGCAAATATCTTAGTTTCTTAGTTTCCTAGTTTGCTCTTTCCCCTGTCTTTCCCTCCACACATATTCCTATATAGATGTGTGTATGTCTTAGATAAAATCTGAATTGTGCTTTGTATTCTGTTTTGAATTCTGTATCATCCACCTATATTGTGAGCATATTCTCCCTCTTCCCCCATAACAATTCCATTTTAACCTTACAGCAATTCCTTAGGACAGATATTCCTTAGAGAAGAATTCCAAGTAATACATGTAAAGAAACGAGGAAAGGATAAAACACCATTGGAGCACCTCAGGAATAAATGCTGCAGGCGGCACCACAGATGAGTACTGAAGTTAGCTCAAAGTACCTCCCCCCAAACACTTACTAATTACTGTGGTGTTTTTAACAAATATCCAAAAATTCCTTGACAGTCTTTCTTCTGGGAGGTGGACCTTAATTCTCCTCTCCTCTGAGTGTGGTCTGAACTTAGTGACTCACTTAGAAGGAGCAGAGGAAAGAAAAGGACAACGAAAACCTTATAGTGCGAGAGCTGATAGACTTCCCTAAGTGATCATGGTTATTTCAGCAGTAAAAGTCATGTCGAAATCATGAGATATTTCAATAAGATGTGATGAGGGGGGCATACCACCCCTGTGGTGTTCTTCCAAAAGCCTATAACCCAAGTCTAAGCACAAGAAATTATCAGACAAATCCAAATTGAGGGAAATAGTGTAAAATACCAACCAGTAGGCTTCAAAATAGTCAAGGTCATGAGAAACAAGGCAAGACTGAGGAATTGCCAGGAAGAGAAAGGAGGGAGATAGGATGACTAAACACCACGGAATGCAGTGGAATCTCAGATTGGATCCTGGAGGAGAAAAAGGTTTCAGAAACCAGGGTGTCCAAAGTGTCCAAAGTTGGAAATAATATCCCTATTTGCTAGTACCATGCACTTCTTTGATAATGTAGTTTGTTTAGTTGTTGTTTTTTTAAGATGTGGTACATTATATAGCTGTCTGGGCATTGGATTATTTTTATGGTGGTAGAGATGCTTTTGCAGGAAACCTTTAGATGGCAGCATCTCTCACCATAAACCTCATTCGGAACAGAATTTGTAAGATGTTTGACACAGGAGGATGCTCAGAATTAGGCTGACTCATCCCTTCAGTGTGTGGTGACGGAGCTGAGGCCCCCGGAGGGTCAGGACCCTGGCTCAGGGCTGAGCCGCTGGGAGAGCTGTGGACCCCTGTCTGGCCTTCTTCCCACCACCCTTCCTCTTGACCTGTGTGAAATGTTTCCTGGCTCTGTGGCCTTGTTAAAAGCCCACATTCAGCATCAGGCAACCAAGGAAAATGAGAGTCCAGTGAGATTTGGGACCAAAATGTAATATGTTTCAAAGCAGCAGACAAAATAGGTAATCTTTTTTGGGGGTAAGCAGATTTATTTAGATACAATTTTCATAGCATACAATTCACTCATTAAAGTGTACACTACAGCAATTTCTAGCATAGTCACAGGTTGTGCAACCATCAGCACACCCTAATTTTAGAACATTTTTATCACCCTAGAACAGGGGTGGGCAAACTTTTTGACTCGAGGGCCACAATGGGTTCTTAAACTGGGCGGAGGGCCGGAACAAAAGCATGAATGGAGTGTTTGTGTGAACTAATATATAATTCAAGTAACATCATTACATAAAAAGGGTACGGTCTTTTTTTTTTTTAGTTTGATTCATTTCAAACGGGCCGGATCCGGCCTGCAGGCCATAGTTTGCCCACGGCTGCCCTAGAAAGAAGTCCCATACCCGTAAGCCATCACCCCATAAGTCTGCATATCTCCCAGCCTCTGGCAACCATTCATATTTTGTCTCTTATTAATTTGTCTCTTCCAGACATTCATATGAATGAAATCACATAGTATGTGGTCTTTGGCGACTGGCTTTTTTCAGTTAGCATAATGTTTTCAGGTTTCACCCATGTTATGGCATGCCTGAATCAGAACTCCATTCCTTTTTATTACCCAATAATATTCCAGTGTGTGGATATATAACATCTTGTCATCAGTTGATGGACATTTGGCTGTTATGAATAATGCAACTAGGAACATTCACGCACAAATTTTTGTGGGAATGTACATGCACATAGAAGTGGAATTGTTGGGTCAATTGATAACTCTTTGTTTAACCCTTTTGAGGAACTGCCAAACTATTTTCCAGAGTGGCTATTGTGCATTGCCCTAGCAACATGGGAGGGTTCCATTCAGTCTTAGTACGAATTCCAGATTTCCCGATAAGTTGGGGTTGCGGGAGAAGGGAGAGATTTGACTCTGAAGCTCTCTTGTATCTCTGACTCACACACCAGACTGGCTGCTGCGCCTGTGTGCAGGCAGCCGTGTCAGCTGCCAAGAAAGCAGTCGTCTTCTCTGCCCCACACAGTTGCCGTGCGTCACAGGCTGATAAAATGCCTGCATTCTGAGGCTGCTCGGAGTGTGTTGATATTACAGGCTGGCTGTTTGCAATCCTTGCCTTCTGACTTCGGAGCGACCAAGCCACCCAATCATCTTTGTCCCAGTTGGAGAAAAATTCCAAAGATAAAACCCTTCGCCCTGAGCTGTCCAGGTTTGAACACGTCAAAATCACTTGCTTGACACTCACCGAGGACAGCTGTAGGGACTTCACCGCAGAAGAGCAGCTTGGTTTCTGTCCAAGTTTACATTCTCAAAACTGACCTTACCCACTTCTTCTTTGGCAGCCCAGGCTGGACATTCCCGTGTCTGTACTGAGATGACTGTGTGTGTGTGTGTGTTCGAGCTCAAGGGAGGGGAGAGGGCTGGCTCTTCCTTTAGGCATGTTTGGGTCCTGGTGAGGACACACACTGCACATGCTGAGCTTTGCATCTGGAAAAAATTAGCCACACTCAGATCTTTCCCACTACAGGTCCCGTCAGGAAGCCCAAGTATGTGGAAAGCCCCAGAGTGCCTGGAGATGCAGTTATAATCCCGTTCAGAGACGTGTCCCAGCCAACAGAGCCTAATGAGAATGGTAAGAATCTGTTTTCAATGATCCCTCCCCCGCAAGCCCCCCAAAGATTGTACGTAAGGGCATTTCATTTCTGAGTGAAACTTGAGTGCCTCTTGCAGGAATGCTTTTACTAAACTGAATGTGTTTGGGAGAGTTTTTTTTCCCCTCAGCTAGTTACAGAGGTCTGTTCCACTAATGTGCATTCTTGGAATTACTAGTATGTGCATAGTGTAGGAATAGCTGAGTGGGTACATATGCATTGTTTAAGGGTTCACTCTTATTTCCTCTCAAGTTTGACCTCCCTGGCATGGGGGGATATGGAAAAGCAGCCACGAGAATGCTTCCAAGACGTTGTTTTGTTTTTTAGTACTCCATCGTTTTAGAATATTTAACAACAGGCTTTTACTGGACAGCTGAAACTTTAGCTGCATGAAGCTTCTAATAATTAGCTTACTTAAAACCATTTGGTAGCTTTTGAAAGCTTATTTCTTAACATCTAAAGTTTTTCTTTAGGGGAATATAGAAGTGGGCCAAAAAAACCCCACACACCCAAAAAACCCAAACTAATTGAAACCTTTTCAAGAAGACATTTTATATTTTGCTTCCCCCCGCCCCAATATCTGGAAATGTGTGTGACAGGCATTAAAAACTTAGAGCATTTCATAGATGTATTAATAGTTTTTTTATTTTTTTAAATCAATTTAAGAATGTACCCCTTTGTTCCTTTCTTGGAGTAGGGGGTTGCCAAACTGACAGCTCTTTGGTATTTAATTTGTGTTTTGAATTTACATCCTATTTTCCTAAATAAACATGTTAAGGAACCCTGGCCTACGTAGGGAACCTGTTTTACCCTCATTGTGGGCACAAGCTCATGTAGTAATGCTGAAAGAGACAGGAAAACGCATCCATATTTGCACTTAGAAATATCTGGCACCCTGCTCTCCTAAGTTGTGGGGTGTGGGCATACAGCCTCTTTATGTTCTAACCACCAGGTGTGTATTCTCTGTTTCTGCATTTTGTGTGATGGGGAGTGGGTAGGAACATGGAGTGGGGTGGTGGTGCTGAAAATAAAGCTAAAAATGAATTGAGAGAGGAGGGATTGGCAGAAAAATGAAAATTGGGAAGAGGAGTTTGGGATGGGTGGTGGATGAGATGGGGCCAGGAGCTGGGCATGTGGGACAGGGAAGAGGAGGTAGTGTGTGTGGGTTGGCATGAGAAATTCCACCCTTTTTCCTCTGGCCAGGCACCCAGTCATTAGGCGTAGGTAGGAGGTTCACACTCGGAGAGGGACAGGCAGGGTAGTGCGGTGATGAAGACAGGAGAGTCCATGGTGGTATCTGGTTAGGATGGCCATCCTACATACATGAGGACCCTCTTTGTTGTGAATTCATATGTTCAGGGTGTCCGTGTGTTGATCTATTCTCATTTATGTTTTGAGTGTTGAATGGAAAAATAAAACACTGTTCCTCTAAAGTAAGTATCAGTCATCTTCCCATTTCAGAATAAGCCTGCCACCTTTTGCCCTCATTCCCACCCCCAAAGTCTTTGTAATCCTGGGTGGTTATGTCCCTTGCATTTTGGCTGGCCTAGCCTCCATTATATAACCTCTTCCTCCCTGATGGAGAGTATTGTTGAGTTCCTGTCTAGAGTTTATGACTTCTGCTAGAGTGAGAATGGGGGAGAAATTTAGGATTTTTATTGGGCAAAGAAAATAGTTTATAAATAGCTTCCATTGTCAACTTCCCTCCTCTGGCTCAAGGCAGAATTGGCTGTCTTTTTGGGGGTGAGGAGGCATTCTTATGCTTGGCGCCAGCTGAGCTGAATTCAAGTGTAGTGATTGATATTGCTGGAGTTGCCTGTAGTTTTCATGAGCACTCACTGCTAAGACTTAAGCTCTTGGATTTGACATCAGTCTCCAGGAGATCTGAAATTATGACATACCTGGGCTGTGAATAAGGATAAGAAGTTTCCAGAAGTTTTGCATAGAATTAAAAAACAAGGGTACGTTTTCTCTCTTTTAGGTGTTTGGAAAAGGGGTATTGTTCGTATTTGTGGGCGCAGGTCGTTTTGTGGTTAGTCATGGTGTTGGTGGAAGACCAAGCAGAGTTAACTGTTAGGTGAGGAGGAGGTGGTTGCCTAACAGAATCCAAGTTGACAAAGAGTCAAGGATGCTGTGTTTTGTAATTCCCATGGAATCCTTTAAATTTCAATGGAATTAAGTTTGACATATTAACATGTACATTTTATGTCCAGGTCATTGAACCTACCGGAGAGGCTGGGCTGAATTAAAGCTAATTGAGTTTGAGTTTGACCCAAGCATGTACAGATCCACTTCTAGGGCTTCATTTCATCACTTAAGTTTTAGTTTAAATCTTGGGCTTATGCTTTCTGTATTTCCTTTGGGCATTTTTTTTTTTAAATCTCTAAGACATTTTTTCAGGTGCCGTCAATAATAGCATCTCAGTCTTCACCAGACTAACAAACTCTATGGAAATAGCTCCTAGCAAAGTGCTTTCAAAATTTCACATAGACTCATGAAATATCTTCCTAAATGTGCTTCCTAAATGTTTGCCATACCCTCTCCAGGCTAGCTGCCTTGCTTTATGGTCATGTAGCTCCATAAATTCTTGATTCTTGGCTTCCTGTATAAAATTTAAATCAAAGTAAAATAAAATCAATGAGTATTTTGAAATTACTAATTTATAAGTAATTACAGTTACATATAAGTTGCATATTTTAGCCACCTGGGAAGTGGTTATATGGACAGATGAACATTTTTTTAATGCAAGCAAAGAACCTGTTAAAAGTTTGAATTCATCTGGATACATCTTTAGGGAAAGACATTCTACTTTATTCAATGTTTTAAAATATTTTTGAAGAACAGCATTTTCTACTCGGCAAAAAAAGAGTGAGTTAATGAGGTCCTCAAACAAAATACAATCCCTCTTTTCCTATCAAATGGCTCTGTCACACAGAATGAGTTCTTCACAAATAAGCCTTCTATCGTAAAACAACATATTGTTTAGGGGGAAAATGTCATTTACCCACAAAATAATACCTTTGCCTTAAGGGCAAGTAAAAAACCAGATAAGTTAGAGAGGATTACTAAGTTACAATAGGATTCACAGCTGTGTTTCTTAAATTAAGGGCAACCATAATCCATTTAGGTCGGCTTCAATCTGTCATTAGCTACTTGAGCAAGCTTTGATGGGGAGGGGTGAGAAAGTTTTAGTCTTATGAGTCATTGCTTGGTGAAGATCAATCTCAAAATATAATTAAACATTTTTTTCTGGCAGTCTGGTTAGCAAGTAAAACTGACGCATACGAAACAGCAGAATCATTAAATGCCAAACTCTCTTATTGGGAGGTGTGGGTCTTTTTTAGATCTGTGTTTAAGTTAATATCGATGCCTTATGTTTTTGGTTATTTTTCCAGGCATTTAAAAAGATGTAGAGAATGAAAAAGGTGTAAAAACTAATGGCATTTGTCTACCCACTCCTCAGGTTAACAAATAAAACATAACTGTTTTCTCCTGATCTTATTCTTCCTTTCCCAAGCAATAACCTAGCTCCTGCTGTTGATTTTCAGCTTCTTCTTAGAATGGTGATGGACTACTTGATGAATAGTCAAGTAAAGTTTTATTAAATTAAAGTACAGAGAGGGGACACACCTGGTATGTGTGTGGTGAAGAGAGACTGGAGGTAGAATATCCATTCATTCTCTACTTCCTTAAATAAATATTAATTACATTCCTATGCTGTGAAAAGCTCTATGTTGGATGCTATTTGAGACGGGTTATCAAGCATAGGTCTTTTCTTCACAGAAGCTTAGAGTCTGGTTGCGGATTAAAGGCCCTGTGTACAGAGTGATTATCATGCGAGGGGGGAAGTAGTGTTGACTGATTCCAGCTGTGTGATAAATCGGATGCACATGAAGGCACCAGGAAACACTTAATTGGTTGGACCTATGCCTTAAGATTTACCTGGCATAGGATGGAATGAGGCAGGAAGGAGACTAGGATCAGACAAAGGCTGTAAAGTGAGAAAATAAGATCTCAAATTAGAACAGGATCAGGGAAGAAGAGGTGATGAATAGGAAGATTCATGAGAAATTGCAAGGGCCAGGAGCTGTTAGAGGCAAAGATGATGACTTCCAGGCTTTTTATTTACTTATTTTAAATCTTTATTGTTGAAAGTATTACATATGTCCCCCTTGTCCTCCCATTGACCTCTTCTCGCTCACCCCTGCCCACTTGCAGGCTTTGAGAGTACATTTAGAGCAGTGGAGGAGAGGCAACGATCCATTTCAGTTTGAGTTCAGTTCCAGGCATGTTCAGTGGGAGGCGCTGTGGAGCATTTAGGTAAAAGTGTCCAATGAACAGTTGGAAAACCAAACTGGTGCTCAGGAAAGAGCTCAGGATGTCAACTGGGCAGCCATTGTTTAGAGGAGATCAGATAGGTTAGACTAAGGACAAGGTCATTGAGAGAAGAGGACTGAGGAGCACCAGCGAAGGGGCAGGAGGAGAACCCGTGAAACCACACATATCCTGGAACCATGGATTTTCCCTCCGTGTGTCTTTCATGGTGGCCGCCGCTTGCCCCTTGCAGGACAGTATTTTTAAGGTCAAAATATACAGGAATAACAAAAGAGGAGGTGGACTGTTCTAAAAACCCATTACTGTGCTTAACAGGGATGTTTGAGGAGAGTTGTGAAGGCAAATGAGTTTGAGTTGTAGGTAGGAGATAAGGAAGAGGAATTGGTGGGGCACGACCCCTGTTTTTATCCCAAGGAGTTGAGAAGGTAAGGGAAGATGAGAGGTCAGTTATTAGGGTGAGGAGTGTGTGAGACTATAGATTATTCATTTTTTAAGTATATTTTTATTGATTTCAGAGTGGAAAGAGGAGGGAGAGAGAGAGAGAAACACAATGATGAGAGAGAATCATTGACTGGCTGCCTCCCATATGCCCCCCCACACTGGGGATGGAGCCCAAAACCCGGGTGTATGCCCCGAGTGGGAATAG